GCTTGTAGTTCAGTATTATCCTGTTGTATCCAGGTGCCTCACTGCCTGAATGTGAACCATAATCCAGGCATCAGTCTTACTTGTGGGGCAACTCTCCTGGGTGTAAGAATAACTCCCACTTCTTTCCACCATTATATTCTTCCAGTACACAGAGTCTCTGTGGAATTGTTAAGCAAACAAAAAAGTAACTTTTCTTACAGTGAATATATACATCAAAACTGTAACTTTATTTACAATGCAAGTACATTGATGCACAACTTATAAACGTAAAAAATTAACTGAGAAAAACTATCTATTCTTTGCTTAATATTTAGCTCCATCTGTAGTGAGCATAAGCACGGTTGGCTTCACACTGACGATGGAGATCCTGCTTCTTTTTCACGACGCGTCCCTGTTGGACAAACAAAATAACTACATGTAGAACAAATGTCATAAGCATGGTTCAGGATCATAATAAGGTTAAAGTACTTATGGATATGTCAAATTTAAATATTGGCAATTAAATGTTATTCAAATACAAAATATTATGTAGATTCCATACTCTGTCTAGTTTCAGGAAAGAAAATTACTGACATATCACCCTGGAAAAGTATAGTGATTTGCCAAGACTCTTGAGAAAAAATAATGTAGTTGCATAGATAGTAAGTTACAATACAAACAATATAAATATTGTTTTTAAGTTTTAAAAACAATATTGCCACCTGATTAAAATAAAGAGAGAATTGGAGAATCAGAGTTCTCCAAAATATGATGTGAACTGCTTGCCCAGCCTCCTCTGAGACTGGATACACTATACAAGTTTGCATCCAATTATTTGAATGTAAAAACAGGGTATGGAGGTAATAACGATAAAATACCTCATTTCTGGAAGCATCTAAGAGTTCTTTAGCTAACTTTTCAGGGAAATGGACCTTCCTCTCCTTCTCTCTGCCTGATTCCACGAGCCATCGCATTGAAACAAAGTATGAATGCTTTTCTGTTATTGGCACTGGCACCTGCAAAATGATGAAAATAGACAAAATATAAAAATACTAGAGTATAGAAGGAATATTACAGAGAAAATAGTAAATACAATAAACAGTTCAAGGAAAACAGATTAATTGGATAGTCAAGGATGGGGGAGAAGAAAAAGAAGAAGAAAAAATAAGATAACGACTTGATTTTGAGCAATAGAGTCATTCTAAAACGAAGTTAACTGTGATGCAAATGCTACTACAGGCATAAAAGAAGGTAAAGAAAATCAAACTATTCATACATGATTGTGTGATAATCATAAAGATGGACATTTATACCTATATTCCAGAAAACCTCAAACATTATTTCCGTGCCAATTATGAAGCACATACCTGGTATTTAACACCACCTCGCTTGATGGGGGTGAGCTGTAACAGTGGCCGGGTGTTCTCTACAGCGCTATGTATGATGTTTATTGGATTACATTCTATCAAAGCTTTCTCCTCCTCAGTCTCTGCCTGATGATACTTCTGGAGCTGTGTCCGTTTAATAATTTCAAAGGTCTGTAGATAGCATCATAATTGGGTATCAGACTGTGTGCATATTATGTTCATTTCTAGTATTAATACCAATCTGCTCAGACAAACACACCAACATAATGACCAATGCACATACATGGATACATAAACCCCTATGTCAAGGCATCCTCAACAATCTAATGATTTTTTAGATATATCTCAATACCATGTTTCATAAAAAAAACACAGAATAAAGATTGGTGTATCTTTGATAAAAACAGAGAGAGAGAGAGAGGCTAATACATGAAAGCTACTGTGGTTTTTATGGCTGCTTTCATAAACTAACCAATACTCTTTTCAAAGCATACACCTAATTGTATACAAAAAATAGTTTCTCTCTTTTGTTTACCTTTTCCATGAGATCTCGAGCCAAGGCTTTATTTCCTGTCTTCATGACATAATTTGTAAACTTCCTGCAAAAGATAAGGTATTCTAGTAAAATTCATGTGACAGACTCTGCAGCAAAAAGTATTTAAAGACAGCAGGAGGAAGAGGAAAAGGAAGAAAATGATGATGAATCATTCATCATTGCCCATATCATAAAACTCATTTCATTTCTCAGATCTCCAGTAAAACAGTAAAAAAAAAAAAAAAAAAAAAAAAAAAAAAATCTATATATCTACTTCTATCTATCTATCTATCTATATATATATATATAAACTAATCATACATAAACATTAAAAAAACAAATAGATTAAAATAAATACAAAATGACACACATTGATAAAATACTTACGCTACCATAGGATCATGGAAGATTGAACTCGTCTGATTATTCAAAGCTGCTTTAATTGGTGTAAAAGCCAGACTTTCAGCTTCTCCTGATTTGGAAAATTCTTCTAAATTTTCTTTGCGATATAGAGGTTCGGCATATGTTGGTGGGTATTGGCTGTACTGTCTCCATGGTCCCTCATTAAACCTGGTAGTGTGCAAAAAAATATAATATGTGATAAAAGCACATGCAATCTAAACAGAATAGATAATTTTTTTCTTTTTTTTTCTTTTTCTTTTTTTCTTTTAATAAATTCTGTAAACATCAAATACAAATTATAATGTACTGGCAATTTCATGATACATATGCAGCATATGTATTATGAAGGGAATACAGAGAAAATGGGAGCAGAAATACAAGTCTATATTCAGAACCTATTTTTTTCACTGTCAATCTCTCTCTTCAATACACTAAAATAATAAAATCTTTGTCTAGACTGTGCAACCAATGTATACCATTAGGTGTGCCCAAATTGTAGAAAATGTGTGAATGACAATGAAAAATTTCACAATGTAACTAATATATGATATTTTCATACTTGCCCTATAAGTATAATAAAATGACATGTTGCGTTTCCAGTGTTGTGTTCATTCTGGGTTATTCTTAAGATTATACAGTGACAAAGAAGATAAAATAGACTTCAGTAACGATCCCAGTTCAATATGTGGGCCCACCAAGAACTCCAAATACAGAAAAAAGTTATTAAAATTGAAGCAATCCAGACGGTAAAAGGAAGCAAACAAAAGTTTGACGGTTGCAGATATAAAGGTATTTGGTTTATTATTTTATCATGTGAATGCAGCTCTATCTTGCCATGCATACCGAAGTTTAGAGAATGTGTCCCTGGGGGTGTTGGGGGCTTGCCCCCCATCAACCCTCCCCTCAGGCAGTGCCCAAAGGGCACGCCTAGTCACGTCAATTTATATTGATATATTAGGTTGGTTTATTGGTCAATACATTTTGGGGGGGGTTTGGAACGTGCAAATTCCCTTGAGTTTTGCCTAAAAGTGGGTTGGGTTCTCGTAGAGTTTTTGATTTCTGGCGCGTCAGTCCGTAGAATTTGAAAGATAGCAATTACATCCGTAGAGTTTCACTGGCCGACATTAGGCATTTTTTGTGCTAGTTTTACGCGTTTTTTATCAATATTCTTTTATTTAAGCCTGTTTTACCCCATAATTTCCCTGATATACTTCATGCCCTCCCCTGCTACAGGCCTATCAAATCAAGATCGTCGATGGAGAAATGGTACTCAATCTCCTGAAAGATTCATTTGCTGAAGAAACAACGCCAAAAAACTTTAATTTTTTTCGACTTAGTCTCTGGAAGGGTGCGTCACTCTCTCTAACAATTACCTGTCCATATACTGAATATTTATTAGGTTGGGCCTCGCATAATTTTAACAAACTGGCTGTTAGTCTCTAAACAAGGATATGCAGCAGACATTTTCGTCACTTCATAGTAAACATGAGGCCACAGCAGCTGTAAATGTATTGTTTATGAATCTATTTCTTCTGCGCTATAAGACGGCAGTGTCCATTTCCCTGTATCTCTGTGCATCGCTCTCAGTAACATTAACCAATGATTCACTGTTAATCTGTTTGTAGGATACATTTATTGTTAATATGCTTAAATGCCATGTGATCTGATTATGCTAATTCCTAAATATCTCCAAACTATGCCTCTATAATATGAAAACTAAATACTAACGACAAAAACACAGGACAACGTTTAACTAATCATCTTTTATACTAACACACCCCTTTATTAAATGACTTGATTTTTATCACATATGAACTCGCACTGGAAAACTCTTAAACACGTGTCAAAACTCATACGCAAAAATATTTTTTTTTTACATAAACACAAAAAGTATTCCTACACCCTAGTCAACCCTCATCACATCCATTCATTAAAAATAGATAACTAACTTTAACTCATGTCTACTTCTCCAATCCTTGCATCTCAAATCCCACAATGCATTCAACAAACCGATTGCAGATGAGAGGGAGAGCCTGGCCTCTGTTGCAAGGCCGAAATTGCAAGCGAGCGAGGGAGCGAGCCCAGCCGGCCATGTTTACGTCTGAAATGTTGACATGAGGAATTCCATTCTGGTTTTCAATTTTGGATTGTTTGGGATTGCTTGCTTGCTTAAATTACACTTATAGTGTTTTGTTGGTCGATTATAACTATGTGGTGGTATTTAGAATACAAATAAGGATGCTATACAATAGGTGGAAGTAATGTAATATTCGGCGATAATGTTGCGGTACTTTTATTACGCAGAAGATTTTGGGATATTAGTAATATAAATAACGATACACAAAAAAAGAAAACATTATAGCTAAATCTTGCGAGAAAATAAGGATCATAACCCATGTGCAATATAATAAGCAAAGGGATACGCCCGAGTAGAAGAATCCAATACTTTAAATGAAGCAATTGAGTTTCCTTTTAAAACAATTGAATGCTCTGAGTGACTCTAATACGATGCTCTTTCTAGCAGTCACCGAAAAGATGTGATTCATGTCACAAACCTGTGAATATGGAAGGAAGGAAGAGCGAGAGAGACCTTCATTATTGTTCTTCTAATTAGGGCACTTACTTACTCATCACGATGGGAATATCAGACAAAGATGCGTTTAGGATCCTTGGTCTTCCGTTAGGTGGGTTATATTTTCTGTTCTTGTGACACAGGAGGACGGGATAAGAAGGAGGAAAGATTGGTCGCCCGAGTGTGTCGTTGTTATAAGAATCATTCTTGCATTTTTTCTGTTACTATCGTAACTGAGTATTAATTTTACAAGGGAGACTGTCACCGCATGCAAGGGATCGAGCCACTCACACGGCGAAATAAGGCGTGTGTCGGGCGAGGTGACACCTGTGAGGCGAGTGAGGGAGGCCAAGTTGCACAGCTCCGTGTAGGAACGTTTCAAATGGATATGGTGACAGTTATTCGTCTGGCCGGCAATATAACACCGAGGAGCATTAAGGCCCCCTTATGAGACTAATTAAGAGGAAATATAGGCTTGGTTCTCGCGAAGAGCTCAAAGGGTAGGTGTAGGATAGAACCACTTTATGAGCCATGATTCTAGAAGTTTTCTTTATGCTAAAAATGAAAGTTATATAGGTTAAGGAAGTAGCTTATTTATCTGTAGCCATGGAATAAGTTATTTACAGCGATGTGCGTAGACAGAGGGAAATGGACACCGCCATCTTATAGAGGGAAAAATAGAAGGGGATAGAAAATAGTTTAAGATGCACAGGTCCTTTAGTTACTGCTAAATGACGAAAATATAACGCGCGTGCATCTTTCAAATTCAAAGTCGATGAGCTTGTTTACCTTGTGAAGAAAAACACAACACTGACCCAACACTATGTATCATTACGCGCTTGTCAAAACGATATTTGGCTAATTATCTGTGTCTGCTGGTACACATTTATGCCTATAAAGTCTTTTAATAATGTTATTATACTTCATTTGCATATTTTGATATTTATCTATACCTTCATATAGAATCCTGAGTATTGAGTGTTTCACGCTTTCTTGCACCAGTCACAAGTTGACAGCTCACTAGCCCGCTCATTTTGAGCTTGAAAGCCAGTGAGAAATGTTGCGTTTCCAGTGTTGTGTTGATTCTAGGTTCTTATTAAGACTTTTACAGTGGCATCGAAGAATAATTAGACTTTAGTAAACATCACAGATTTATATCTGAGCCCATCAAGAGCTCCAAATGACAAAAAAGGTGATTAAAATCGAAGCAATCCCAACAGTACAAAGAAACAATG